CCGTCTGACCTTATCCATGGAGAGGTTCTAGGCAAAGGTTGCTTCGGTCAAGCTGTGAAGGTAATGTCCACCCATTGCCTCTCTCCCTCAATTTTCTGACCTTCATTGTGAAAGTTCATATCAAAAATCTTTATATTAAGGTAACACATCAGGAGACAGGGGAGGTAATGGTGATGAAAGAGCTAATACGATTTGATGAAGAAACACAAAAAACGTTTTTAAAGGAAGTAAGTAGTAGAAATGCCACAAGAGTTTTCAATAACTGCATTACATCTAATATTTACAATCTGAGCCAAATATTGTTCATCTCAATGTCATAAATTCTCTCAAAATGTACACAGGTAAAGGTGATGCGCTGCCTTGACCATCCCAATGTTCTCAAGTTTATTGGATTGTTTTACAAAGACAAGCGAATACATTTTGTCTCTGAATATATCCAAGGAGGAACTCTTCGGGAAACCATTGCAAAAATGGTGAGTTGCAACTTTATTTTAAATGTATCCCAAATATTTTGTGTCAGAGCTGAGAAACACAATGAGTTGGTCATAATTTGGTTGTTTTAGGAGGAAGATTTCCCCTGGAATTTAAGAGTTGGATATGCTAAAGATATAGCCGCTGGAATGGTGAGTGTTTCTGATCATGGAGGTTACAGCACTTATAATTACTTTTTCAAGGCATAATAAAACATTAAATGGCAAATTTAATGTTTCTCCTTTGCAGGCATATCTGCACTCCATGAAGGTGATCCACAGAGATCTAAACTCTTACAACTGCCTTGTCAGAGAGGTGAGCAATGAACTTTATTAAATGCATAAAAAAGTTATACCAAACTCAATATTTAGCACATTAAGTCACAAACATAATTTTCCAGTACAAGTAATACATATGCTTTGATAGAAAGTACCATTTAGTAAAAGACTTTCTATAGTGACAACTGCAGCAAATAAAGTGACAAGTCACTTTATTGTGGACAAAAAGTTTCTTGAAAGTAAAAAACTGAATTTATATTTATTATACTATTTCCATGTTTGTCTTTTTTAAGACTTTATAGTTGGTGTTTAGGTATTGTTTATATTGCTATCCAATAACACATATATACATAGTGATATTTTCAGTTTCCAGTCAACTTTAGATTTAGCAGGTTTTTTTGTTTCTAGGAAAAATCCTGAATCTTTTCATTTCTCTGCGCTGTAGAATCAGTCTGTGGTGGTGGCAGACTTTGGACTTGCCAGGCTGGTGATGGATGAACGGAGTCGGAGCAAAACTTCATCTCTGGAGCGGAGCGTGAAGGGGCCACTGTCAGAGCTGCGCAAACCTGACCGGAGAAAACGATATACTGTGGTTGGGAACCCCTACTGGATGGCCCCGGAGATGATCCATGGTGAGTGTGTTAACCAACTCATGAATGACGGACCTTCATGGTCTAAACTGAAACAAAAACTGCACAGCTCATTACATTTTTCTCTTTGACTCTTAGGAAAAACCTACGACGAACGTGTGGACATATTTTCCTTTGGGATTATGACTTGTGAGGTAAGAAAATTTTGGTAATAACACAAAAAGACGTAACGTAGCTAAGAAAATATAACCGATTAAATTTCTGTTATTTTCTTTCATGACGGGAAGGAAATTTCTAAAAACATATATGAACTTACTCGTTTAAAGTAATCGTTTAAAATATTTTTTCCAACACATACAATTAAAATTGCAAAACAAATGTAAGAGATAAGCCAAACAAATTGTTGCACTACTGCCACCTTGTGGTAGTAGGTTGCTACAAGCCAAAAAGTGTAAAAGATTAAAGTTACACTTTAAAACAGTTGTTTATCGATTCCTCTTTGTGTCATCAGATAATTGGCAGAGTGAGTGCTGATCCGGACTACCTTCCCCGAACTAACGACTTTGGACTAAACGTAGAAAGTTTCCTCCAGCAGTATTACTCTCCACTGTGTCCATCTGCCTTCCTGCCATTGGCTGTTCTCTGCTGTGACATGGATGCTGATGAACGGTACGATTGTGCAAAAATAATTGAAGCTATTTGAAATAAAAGCTATTTTTAGGTATTCATGCAACAAAAATTGTTACATCTTTGCAAAAAAAGATGGAGATGCTTAGATGTTTGTGTGCAAAATAGCCAAATCAAGAATAAAACATGAATGTATTTGCCTTTCAGACCCTCTTTTTCAAAGCTGGAGGAGTGGCTGGACAACCTGCTAATGAACCTGGACATCAGCCTGCCTTTGCTTTCTGAGTTGGAGCAACTCTGTCAAGCCTTCTGGAAGATTCACAACCACCAAAACCAGAATGAAACTCCTGATCATCAAGACAATCTGAGCCCTAAGCTTTGTTCAGATGAAGCAAATGGCCACTCAGAGCCTAATCACTACCAAGGCCAAAGTAGCAAACCCGACAAAGACGTGACTGGTGAGCAACATGCACAAGGCCACAACCTGAGGACTAAATCACAACACACAAACCAGCCCTGCTGTGAGTCTGAAGGCTCAGACCCGGGGAAGAGCAAGTGTGAGTCTCAAGAGGACAGCAACATTAAAGAACAAACAAAACCGCAGCATGAGCCGACACTGGTGGGCCGACCAAACAGGACTAGAAGAACTTGTAGAGTGCTGTGGGAAAGATCTTCAGAGGACAGCTCGTTTCTCTGAATCGTTCTCAACATAACTGCGTTCAGTGTTGGGGAATAAACACATTTTTTGAGGACATTGGTACCTTTGCACAAAATAGAGAGATGTATTTTAACGAATTACTATGAATTAGATGCACAAAATGTGCAACTGCAGATTTATGAAGAATGTTTTTGAGAAACTGTGCAGCTTGATATTAATTAAATAACAATCCATAGACCAGTATTTAAGTAGCAAAGCTAAAGCCTAGTTCAAGGGAATTTTATTCAGTATTTTTTTACAGCAAAAGGCATACTGAAAAAACGTCCTGACATTTCTGAAATTGCATGGATGGAAGCTCTCTTTTGATAGACTGTGTCATAGTTCCACAGTTTATAAATTACCTCAAGCACACAATTTAACATTTCTGTATTGCAAGGACTGTTTACTACTTGATAAGCAAGAGCATGTCTGTCATAAGCTCAAATTGTCAAATGGCTCCAATTTCAAATTGGTCCAAAAGCTGTGAAATATGTTATTTTATTCTTTAAGATATGTTTAATTATTTTTTTAGATTGTCTTATGTCTTGCCCCATACACTGAGCTACGAAATAACTACTAATGCTATTAAACTGCAGATAATATACAAAAATATGTACACCTTCTGATGTATAAGTCTGTATTACTATTTTAAGACAAAGTACAGAAAAGTGACTGAGAAGAAAATACCTGATTTATGCTTTGAGGTTAATCATGGCCATCTGGACAAGGCATTGTCCCCTAGTCCCTGCAAATTCAAGCAAAACCATGAGGAGTTATCATTTATTTCCTGTGGTGAGATATCAATCATGGTAATATTAAGGCCTCCTAAATTAACAATTAAACTCACTGATTGGGGTGATTAAGCCTTCAAAAAGATGCTTTAAAAATAAAGCTGCTGCAAATTTCCAGAAAACGTCACTTCAAAATATATCTTTCTCTAGCTAAGTAAACTAACTAAACGTAACGAAATGTTTGAGCTAGAATTAAAATATGTTTACGCTGACTGGCTAGCTAGCTAGCTTACCTTCTGTATTACAACGCAAACGTTAAAACGCTAAAACTGACCAAAAAGGCAGATAAAAACCAAGAAAGACTTATTTAATAAACTTTATAAATATCTATATTTTATAAATTTTAAATTATTACCATAAAAAACAGATTCAGCGAAGCAGTACTAAGCCGTTATGCTCACGTGCTGATGTTATCAGCTTTACCTTTGAACTCTAACTGACCAATCAAAATGGAGAGAAGTCTGGGAGCTGGCAAACAAAAAGTATATTTTATTCATCAATTAATTGATTCAGGATTTAACAAGTGAATATTGTGTTTTCTCAACAACATTTTGATTTAGTGAGGTAGTGGATGAGAAGTAAGGAAGAAAATAAACGTATAATGTGATTGTTAGAAGATCAGGAACGAGGTCCTTCACATTAAAATGAGTCTGGCAAGCTTCTCTCATTGAGCAATTAAAGATAATAAGTTTATTAAACTATTACAAAAATATTGGAAATTAATATCAAATTTATACTTAATTCTGTTTATGTCAAGCAACTGCTTTACTCCAGTAGTTTTATTTTAAAACAAGCCAATTAAAAAGGTTGCAACACTTTTGTTTGATTCACGTTTGATCAAAAACCCAACCAATATCCAGATTTCTGGTAGTCCTATAATTTACTTTGAAAATTATGTTCTTACTGTTTGAAATTGCAAATATTTCTGGATTTAGATATGCTCCCTCTGAGTGCAAGTAGCTAATTATTGTAGTACAAATGCAAAAGAGTGGACAAAAATAAGTATCAAGTATATTAGATCATATATGCAGGTGGCTTGTTATACAAGCCAATGAATAAGTATGTAATGGCTTGCCATACAGGTAGGCGCTCTGGCATGTCACCCATCTGGTGTCAGTTTGGACTCAGGTTACACCATGGAGCACATGTCCTCTCCGGTCAGATTCCGTAGCAATAAAAAAGGTAAGTCCATAACAGTTATAGCTTGTCTTTCTGTTTTATTAAAGTTTTCAGCAGTGAGGAAATAACTTCACTTTTTAAACTACAAATGAATCACCCTGAAATATTCATGCTAAGCACCTTCAAGAGTCTGTCCAAATGTTTCTTGTCCTATTTAACACTTGTTTGTTATAATCTTAATTATTTATTTAAATTGCCAGCTTTATGTTTACGTTATGCCGCATTAACCATACTCATTTATTTTCATATATTCCTTTTAGCGACTCATTTTCTCCTTTGTACTAATGTTTTAATGTGCTGCTGTCCTTGATCAAAGAAGCTGCAGCTTTTTCAGAAAAGCAGGTAGGACTGTTAAAATACACTTGTGTTTGTTAGAGCGTGTGTTGAGGAGGTAACTCTCCAACCCCCACCCTGTTAGAGTATTAGAAGCTAGGTTAAGCCTGGTGCTGAGGAGCTTTCTGGGTAATTAGAGGTGACGGGTAGAGGGATGGCAGATGAACCCTGATCAGACCTGCAGCTCTGCGAGGTGCATTTCTCTGTCATTAGACCAAGTCAGTAGGAGAGTAGGCTTAATAGTTGGCTCTGATTTTATCAAGAGTACATGAAGTTGCGTTCAGGGTGGTGTATAAAATCAGTTGATGTTTGCGGCTATCCTGATAAATAATGACCTGTGTAAAGATGCTCTTCAGAGCTTGTAGTTTGACCTGGCTGACCCTGAAGTTCAGGGCATCTTTTGTCCTCTTGCCCTGACAGATGGATGAGTTCCGTTTTAACGTTATAATGGGATCACTGGTCAGATCTAATCAGAGGAAAACAGTGTCGTCAAACAGTGCAGGTGAAAATCAGTAGTCTCTTTATCAATCTGTTTCCGTACCCACAGTATTATATTTCCTACACGTAAAATAAGACAAAACTAATTCATAAGTTTTCAGCAAGATTTAGGAGCTTGTTGTCAATAATTTGTCAATAATTTTATAAAAGTACTTGTTCCATTGGCAGATTATTTCACTTATGAGGAAAAAGTATTGTTATTAGTTAAACAATCTGCCAATGGAACTAGTTTTTTGTCAAGACTAAGTAATTACTTACTTAAAATAAGCTCCTGTATTTTGCTGAAATGTTACTTGTAAGTAAGTTTTACCTTACTTTAAGTGAACTAAGATATATTCACTAGAAACTAGACCAATATTACTTCGCAAGATTTTGTTTTTGCGGTGTAATGGATGTTTTCATATTAAATTTTCATCCCCAATCAAAATGAAATGACTGGCGATGAAAATCGTTTCACATAGTTGCCACTAGGGGTCAGTATCTCTCCACCAATGATAGATGACCGTTGCCAGGAAGTAACGATACTTCAAAATTAATTATTTGTGTTGCAGCGTAACATTTTCACATTTATCTATTTATTCACTGAGAGTAGTGGATGTACTCGCTCCCCCGTTATTATTATGTTGTCTTAGCAGTAGACTGTAAAAGAAAAGAAACAAAGGTTGTGACATTTTGTCCCAGTTGTCCAGTCTTTCCATCGAAGACCAGGCAGACATTCAGTTCCCCTACGCCATGAGGGATCTGCCTCCTGCGTCCCATTCAGCCGGAAAGTCACAGAACCAGGACCCCTTGGATGTAGAAGAACCTCCGCCTGCAGCCAACGGGAGGCTGCCCGGGGATCCAGGAACGCCCCCTCCGTCCCGTCCTGTTCGGCCTGCCGGTTCTCCGACAGTCCCGCCCCGGCCCAGTCACGCAGGACGGGACCCGTCCCAGATTCTCCCGCTGAAGAGGCAGCTTGTCTCTCAGGTTTCCCTGGACTCCCCTCTGAGCCCGGCCTCGCGGCCGCGCAGTCCCTGGACGCACTTTGACCCTTACGACTCTCCAGAGGTAACTTTGCTCTGTCAGGCCTTTAGCGTCACTGTGCAGCTCTGCACACTTTCTGCTCACACGTTTGTGTGAACTGGAAAGTTTCCTTCCTTTATTTACTCTGGTTGTTTGTGAAGTTACACAGTAAAAAATTAACAGCAATAATCTATTTTATTTAGCCTGTCATAGAATCATATTTTCACCATGTTATTCAAATTAAATATTTAACTAATAAGCTAAATACTTTGTTTGCAAACTAAATATTTAGCTTTGAAATTAAATGCTTAGTTAGTAAGCTAAATGGTAACAAATAAAATTTTCAATTAACAAGTTAAATATTTAGTTTGTAAGTACTAAATAGTTAAATTAAATCATAAATGTGAAAACATTCAACTAAATATTTGCATATTTAAATCTGAGCTAAACATTTAATTTTCAAACTAAATATTTATTCTCCAAATTTTTAGCTCAGATGTAAATATTTAACTTGCTAACTAATTTCTTTATTTCTAAGTTAAACATTAAATATTTAGTTAAGAATGCTGATATTTATAAATATATGAATGACATGATGAAAATGTGACTTTAAAAAATTAACACTCAGATTTTTTCTCTCTCACAGACGAAATAAACCAAATTACAGCTGTTATTTTTTCTCTGTAACTTCACAAATGGACGCCTCACTCCTGTTGTTGTCTGAAACCATCATTTACTATGTGTGATTAATTGTCACAGATTCATTGAGTTGGGCTTGTTGGAAGCCGCAGCAGTAACTGGTTGCTTCATAATGCTGAAATGTGGCTATGCTGCGCATTAAAATGACGTTCATGTCTTCCTTCTGCAGGATCAGGACAAAGAGTACGTGGGTTTTGCTACGTTGCCCAACCAGGTTCACAGGAAGACGGTGAAGAAAGGATTCACCTTTACGCTGATGGTGGCAGGTGAATATTTAAAAAATAACCTAATTATGCTTCTGGAAAAACATAAGGCAGATCCAGTCAGAAGTTTCCATCATTTTTTTTTACTGTTATTGATTTATTTGATCCACTTTTTTCCACTGGTGCCGTGATTACGCTTCAGTGTTGATGTGGTTTTGGGATCGATGTGTCAGTGTTTTGACACACAGCTGTTGCTTCAAGTTAAAGTTGAAAAAAGAATGCAGGCAGTTCTTCATCTTAATCATTTATTCATCTGCTTTGTAAAATATAACAGTATCTCTGGAAGAGAAACAGCCCACAGCATGATTCTACCACCACCGTGCTCAACAGCTGCCCCAGTATTCTTGGTCAGAATATCAATGTTTGTCTTATCTGAATTGGAGATGTTTGTTCAGAAAACATTTAGTTTGTCCAGCTTTGTGTTGACCTCTATAACTTTGGTTTCACATTTTTTGTTTTGGATTTTATTCTGATTATTTTGGCTTTTATTTTTTAGTAACTCTAACTTTCTACCATAACATTTCCTACAGTTTTAAATAACAATAATAATAAGGAAGATATGATTTGTTCTGATTTGAGTGTTTTTAAAGTGACTTAGAGGAATGTGTGTTCCGATTATTGTAGGAGAGACTGGACTCGGCAAATCCACACTAATAAACAGTTTGTTCCTCACTGACCTCTACAGAGACAGAAAAGTTCCCAACGCAGAGGGTGAGTTCACCTTCATCATTTATCCAACCATTCAATTCTTCTTAGAGAGATTTTAACTCTGCATGCATCTTTACCTTTGGTTAATCTGCAGAGCGGATCAGTCAAACGGTCGACATCATCAAGCACACCATCGGCATCGAGGAGAAAGGAATCAAACTGAGGCTCTCCATCATAGACACGCCAGGCTTCGGAGATGCTGTCAACAACACAGCGAGGTGAGCAGACATGTTAAAACAGCATCACACAGAGTATTAATAAGCTCCTAAATATACAAGACCTCACCTGCAAAAATCTACATTGATCACACATATATACAAATATAATCTCATTAAACAAATATTTATCAGACTGCAAAAACACAGAATATTAGCAAGTAATTTGGGTCAAATGTCTTCAGTTGTAATAAGACAAAACTAACTCAAAAGTAACTTTTCAGGAAGACATTTGAGCATGGTTTAAGTAAATAATTACTTAATATTGAATGACAGATTATTTCATTGATAACTTGGGAAAAATATCTTATTATAAGGTAAATAATCTGCCAAGGGAACTAGAACTTTTTTATTAATATTAAGAAATGATTGACTCTAAATAAGTTCTTATATCTTGCTGAAAATTTACTTAAAAGTTGTTTTTTTCTTATTTAAGTGCATTAAGATATTTCCTCTAGAAACCTGATCAAAAACACTTGCTAAGATTTTGTATTTTTACAGGGAATAATAAAAAACAATCAGCTAAAATAACCATATGACTTATTTTATATATTTGTTTTTACTTCTTTTCTCATTTATTTTCCTTTTCTGCATTATATTATAATTATACAAACACTTTAAAAACTATTTTGTTGCTATGCTTCATTTTGACAGGTTTGTTAAACGTCACTGTGTATCACGGAGTGCGTATAAAATAAATGATAGTGAAACTGCTTGCATTAAAACATCTCCTGTAGGTTTGCTGCTCTAATCACAGATATTTTATGTTTGCATCAGCTGGAAGCATGTAGAAGACTACATTGACCAGCAGTTTGAGCAATATTTCAGAGATGAGAGCGGGCTGAACAGGAAGAACATTCAGGACAACAGAGTCCACTGCCTGCTCTACTTCATCTCTCCTTTTGGCCACGGGTACGCTCCAACTTTGCATCTAAAGATGTTTCACAGCCTCAGCTGCATCCATGCAGCATGTTCAGAGTTTAATCATGTTTTGTTTTACCTCTGCTGTCAGTTTAAGGCCAATCGACGTGGAGTGCATGAAGGCTTTGCATGAAAAAGTCAACATTATTCCTCTACTGGCCAAAGCTGACAGCCTGACACAAGCAGAAGTTTACAGCAAGAAATTAAAGGTGCAATAATTTATAACTTCAGTAGTTTTCTTTACTCAAACCGAAAAACCCCCCAGCATGTAACAATTAATCTTGTACTTAAAAACTGATTGAGCAATTTATTTCTTCATCATCAGTAACTAGTTACATTTATTCAATTACATTTATTTGAGTAACTGTTTTTTTAAAAAATGTACTTTTTGGAGTATTTTTGCTACTTTTTTCTTTTACTTGAGTATTTTATTATAATGTATTGCTACTTTTACTTTGGTAAAAAAAATTCTGGATTCTGGACCCACTGAATGAAGAACAAACATGTTTTAACCAAAACCTCACCGGACTCAGACACACGCCTGCAAATTTTGTTAAAGTTTATAAGTTTTATATTGAAAGTAACTGATTTGGAAAAATGTTCTTTTGTCTGATTTTGTTATTTGTTTTTACTTTAAGAATTATTGCCATTTTCGTTCTTATAATACCAAAATTTCCACTTAATATTTTGGTCCGTCTGATGATGTAATTTTTAAATATTAAATGATTGGTAATTTGATTACCGTCGATTGGCCTACTCAAGTACAGTTACTCAGTACTTGAGTAGACTTTTTACCAAATATTTTTTATTGTTACTCGAGTAAAAATATGTCAAAGTATTCTTACTTTAGAACAATTTATGGGTACTTTACCCACCTCTGATCATTGTTTATTCCTCTTCCACCATGATAGTTTTCTTCTGTTTCAGATGAGGGATGAGATCAAGCGGTTTGGGATTAACATCTACCAGTTTCCAGAGTGCGACTCGGATGAGGACGAAGACTTCAAGAGACAGGAACAGATCCTCAAGGTCTGACCTGGAAATTAGATAAAAGTGGCGTCTCATCCTCACAGGGTCTAACAGTTTGACATTTTGACCTCTGCTTGCAGGACAGCATACCGTTTGCTGTGATCGGGAGCAACATCCAGGTGGACAGCAAAGGCAGAAGGTTCAGAGGTCGCTCCTATCCGTGGGGTGTGGTAGAAGGTATGAAACAAAAACATTGATTGGCATTTTGTAAATTTTTTATCTAGTTTTTTAGAGCAAATATCTTAGTAAACTTGAAATAAGAAAAATTCACTTACATGTTATATGTGAAATAATGGAGTTCATACATTTTCATCAATATTAAGAAATTATTTACTTAAAACAAGCTCCTATTTAAAAAGCTTATCTTCTTAATAAAATATATTTTCATGCATTCTACTTTGTGAAATGAATCGTAGTTGAGAACCCGATCCACTCAGACTTCCTGATGCTGAGGAACATGCTGGTGAGGACCCACATGCAGGACCTGAAGGACGTGACGCGGGAGATCCACTACGAAAACTACCGGGCGCAGTGCATCCAGAGCATGACCCGCATGATGGTGCAGGAGAGGAAACGCAGGTAGGCGGAGGCAGGACCCCTGTCAGCATGAACAAATTCTAATAAGGAGTTATTGATGACCGAGGCACACATTTTTGTCCTGTTTCAGTTTACGGGAGAAGCATCGCGAAGGAAGCGAGGTGGACTTTCCTCTTCCACTCGCAGCAGTTGACACCGAGATGGAGAGACAGATTTTTGAAAAAGATGAAGAAGTGCGTTTCCTCCTCTCACTCATATGGACCCCCTGCATGTTACTGTGTATGTCCGGAAATTTTGGGCATGCGCACGTCACCGGAGGGAAGAAACGCTCATCTTTTCTCTCCGGCGGTATAATAATTCCTTTAACTGAACGACACCTGTAGATGTAGGTTTTATTAATTTGGTGCGGTGCGCAACAAGAAAGATAAAAAATAGCGCATAAAACCCGTTGAAGAACAACTCAAAAACACGTTTTTTTCTCGCTCTGTGTGTCGGCTGCGCTACGCAAACACGTCACAGCAACTGAGAACATCGCCACCGAAAAAACGCTCAAGCCCTTTCTTACAAAAAGAACAGAATATTCAGTGCGAACCAGTTTAGTGTTTTAGGCTTGATGTTTAGTCTTATTAATAAGTGATCGCTGTTACCACTGCTATTAGCTATGCTAACAGCGGTGGTAGATTAGCTGATGCCATTAGCTATGCTAACAGCGGTGGTAGATTAGCTGATGCCATTAGCTATGCTACCACAGCGGTGGTAGATTATCTGATGCTATTAGCTATGCTAGCACAGCGGTGGTAGATTATCTGATGCTATTAGCTATGCTAACAGCGGTGGTAGACTAGCTGATGCTATTAGCTAACCTAATAGGCGCTTGATTAGCTAAGTTATACACCTGATCTACTGACGATCTGTCAGTCGGTGTTCAGGTCTCCTTTTTATTTTCTAACTGAACCGAAACACACCAAATTCTACATCACATATACCCGTTACAGTTGACAAAGTCAAGCTAGCAAAACCCAACCACTTGCTATTTTTTTCTTAAATAAAACTTGTTCCTGACCTTGTTATCTGGTTGTGATAGTGTAGCAAAAGACTGCGTCCCTTTTTCTTTTTTTACATCAGGTGTGCCTTTAAGATTTAACGTGTTTATTGACAATTTAACTGCTAAAACCAATACTAATCATTCTTGGCTAGCAGCTTTTTGCCCTCCAGCAGGAATCTTATGCAAATGACGTCACATATTTGTTGTACTTAGATGAAGCAATCGACCTGCCACTGATTTCTTTCTGCTCTTATTTCAGCTGAGAAGGATGCAGGAGGTGCTGGAGAGGATTCAGGAGCAGATGCAGCAGAGCCAGAGAGGCACCTGCTGAGCAAACGCAAGACTAAATCTTCTGCAAACCGGCCATTTCGACAAGTTCAACCTTCAAAAAATGGAACAAAATGTTTCACTGGATCTTCACAGGGAAGGAACAACAACTGCGTGACAACTCAAGCTTTGATTTGTGTTCATATCAAGAGAGCTGGTTGAATGCTGTTCACTGATGTGCGCTGAGTCCAAATCCAATATAGAAGCTATATTTTCATTTTAACCAAAGCTCATTACAGCTTCTAACAATATAGAGGCAAAGAATATTTTAATAAAATTCTTTGACTGACCACCCAATTTTCCGATTGAGATATCGGAAAAGTCGCGTACCTCTATTTTATATTACCTATCCTTCTCCACAAACATCATTCTCATTCTGTCGTTAAACAAAAAAAACGTCCTTATTTCCAATTTTTCTTTCATTTTCAAAAACCTGGCAGCCTTGAACCGTTCTGTTCCGTCTGTTTTCAGTCTTTTCAATTGCGTAGAAGAGCCCTGTTGCTCAGTGTGTCTGTGCGGCTCAGCACTGCCCCCTATCAGTGAGGCACGGTACTTTCTGCTTCACTATGCGCATTTTCACTGCGCATTTATGGCCAAACAGAAGGACTAAATATGCCACTCACATTCATTAAACATATCAAACAAACAGTAGAACGCCAATATATGTAGAAAAATATTTATTTAAACAAGAACTCTGGCGATATAAAGACAGACACTTGTGAAGTGCAGCGCCCCCAGAGGTCAGGTACAGTATTGTAGTGCTTTACCCGGTCTTCTTTCATGTATTGCGTAAATCCAGCGATTTTGACCATAAAATTGTTGAAATTACCAATAAAAAAACTATTTACAGAAAATTCAAGAGGACAAATAGATTTTCTCTCATCATTGTTAGCACATATTTTATTTCCCATCTCCTTTTTCATACTTATCAGGGTTACAGTGAGGAACCACCTTCCCTGACTCCCCTGACGCACGTCATTGTTGGCTCTATTTGTATTTCGTCTGGGGAAAATTAATGCTCCGACTCATTATTTGGTGCAAAACTGATGCAGCATGATGCAATGGCCCAGAGGTAAACCGATTCACAGAGAGCTGTACTACGAATCAAGTTCAACATACTGGTGTTTGCTCTCAACAAAACCTAAAACTCCTCTGAGAGAGAACAGGTAGAGCAGTGATGATGGTTTCTCCTGGTTTTACTCTTTAGGATTTCATGCAAAATACACAGATGACGTGGATTAATTTAAAAATATAAAGACAGTTGCAGGAAAATATGGCTTCAGTTGCAAAAGGAAGAGCTATCTTGCAAACAAGTGAAAACAAGCATCCATTTTATCACCATGGCAATCAAATGGAGGCACATTTGTGATAAAGAGTTAAACCTGGTTAATTTGTTTTATAGTACAGCCTGGTCTTGGTTTCTTCTTTTCCTGCTTTATTTTTGTACTGACTCTAAACTACTTCCTTTAGCGTTTTCCACCATTTGTGGTCAGTGTGATGTTGGATTTTTAACATTTTTATTACATTGGTTTTTGTCATTTTTTTATGTTGCTGTTTGTTTTGTAAGGTCAGAAAAACAATAAAATTTTAAACCACAAAAACAAATAGACAAATGTGTTGTAAATGTAATAAGATTTATTAAGAATCTTTATTTTTCCATCAGCATAATTCTTCATTAATATGTTTTATTTATTTTCATTATGGTTATTTTCAACAGTGGACAGTTAGATCTAAAAGGCAGCCCAAAGTGTACAGGCGATATATAACTTAAACTTTCTCCATAGGGAAAACATGTTTTTTATATTTTATATATAATATCAATGTAGCATGAGGTCCAGGGTTCTGCCCACGTTATACAGTATTGTACATGGTCCCGAAAAGAAACATTAAAAGATCATTTTTAAAACAAACTAAACTGCAACCTACATGCAAAACAAAACCGAAAGAAAACAAGCATTTAAGATGCATACACTCATATGCTGAAACATGCGTACGATCACGAGATACAAAACTTCCATACGTACAAATATTACAAAACTCAATTTCAGTTATAGACAATATTATTTTAGCCAGAAAAGATCAACAGGCTTTTTTTTTCTTTCTCTGCTCAGCATCGCAGTCCAACTCAAAATGAAAAGTACTAAAACAACAACAACTCAGAAATCGTTTTCTCCTCCATTCACTCCAAGTACGTTTTTAGCCAGAGTTGTCACAGTGTTCAGGGAAACTGAGTATAGGCACGCACAATAGCATTCAAACAGGCTCGTCTCATAAATCTGTGTAAAAAAATAAGCTGTTAACAGCTACACACACACACACACACACATACACAGACCATCAAGCACGGGGCAAACTGCACAACCAACAAACAGCCATGCTACAGGTACAACAGGGTTAAGTAGAGCAGAGAATATATAAAACATATAATCACATTTACAGACGTAATGCAGGGAAACTGCAGAGGAGTAAAGGAGGAGATCCACCATGCACTGCAAAAACACCACATCTTACCAAATACTTTAGTCTAACTTAAGTCCAAATATTTTAAAATAGGATAAAACAGACTTAGAAGTAAAGTTTCAGCAAAATACAGGAACTTGTTTTAAGCCACAAGTGTCAAACTCGAGGCCTGCGGGCCAAATCTGGCTGCCATGAAGTTTCACGTGGCCCAGAGAGTCATGAAAATAGAACCTTGAAAATAGGAGTTGTATCCTGAAATAATATTTGATCAAATAAATAAAAGCCGTTTTCAACAGAAGAGGATTATCGCCACAGACAAAAAAATAAATAAAAATCAGAACTTTTTTCTCAGAATTTGACTTTTTCCCAGAATTTACCTAAATTGTTGACTTTAATCTTCTAAGATCAAAAGTCAGAATTCTGGGGAAAAAAGTCAAACTTCTGAGAACAAAGAGAATTCTGAGGAAAAAAAAGAAACAAAGTCAAAATTGTAAGAAAAAAATTTCTGATTTCTAGAAATCAAAATTCTAAGAATTCTGACTTTTGACCTCATGAGACTAAAGCCAGAATTATTTTATTTATCCACTGGTTATAATTATTTTTTGTAGTTTTGATATGTATTCAGCCCAGTTATATCAAAGTGTAATGATGTTTGGTATTTAACTTTAAGAAGGACTTATCGAGTGCAAAAGCGGCTATTTATTCATATTTTAGAGGTTTGTTAATGAGTTTCATCGATACATTTTACCACAACCAGACCTGTGAGGACATTCATAATCTTGATATGGCCCAAAATAAAAAAAAGTTTGACATCCCTGTTTTAAGTCAATAACTCCTTAATATTGGTGAAACAGTAGCAGTTCCATTAGCAGGCATTTTTCCAATATTATAAGTGAAATAATATGGTTCTTTTTCATCATTATTAAAGAATTATTGACTTAAACAAGCTTCTACATCTTGCTGAAAAGCTCCTTGAAAGTCATTTTTTTCTTATTTTAGGTGTACTAAGATATTCGCAGCAGAAACTAAACCAAAGTCACCTGGTGAGATTTTGTGTTTTTGCAGGGCGTAGATGTACAATAATGAGAGAATGATGCGTTTAGTCTAACATAAACATTCACACACACTGATTTACTCATTAGTGGGCATCAGAACATATCTCTAATTCTGACTAAGAACAGTTACTTTCTAATCTTTTTTATTATTTTTTTTAACAAGAGTGACAGATTTTAATTTTGTTTTTAGACACCAACTGTTTGAGTGGAAAACTAAATTCACTAAAGCTTGCAGTATCTGCTGATACATGAGCAAAGATCAATTTCCAGAGCTGCGAGAACGTTCTGAACTCTTCAGAGGTCCAAAAGTGCCACAATTCAATAAAAAAAAGAAAATAAATCCAATCACAATTACAGTTAATATTCCAATCTGATCAGGGTTTAAAATAATCTTTGACTTCACCAACATGTTTCTTTTAACTGGAAGAACTTGGGATCTTCTAACAAAAGATAAATCATTACACCAATCAATACATGAACAAAGTAGGTTTGATTTCTGTAATTGGAATAGAGTTTCCCACTGATTCTCAAGAAAGTTTAAAAAATATTTAAGATAAAAAAAATTAAAAAATTCAAATAAAACAAATGATTTTTCATTTTTAGATTATTTAATTTTTGTTTCCGATTTACGTTTCATTTTAATTCATAAACATGCTTCTGGATTGATTGAAATTTCAGACAAAATCTCTCAGAGAGCTTAACTGTGTGCCACACAAGAGCCATAAAATAAATTCAAACTCCAACAGTTTTAACAACTGATTATTTTACCAGCTACGCATTTAATTACTGCCATATTCAAATAATTCCATCATTTTTTATTCATTCATTTGTTTGAATTATGACATTTTTGATTCATCTTTAATTGTTACACTGAGGCACTTTTAGCTGTCAAAAGGTTTGTGTTGGGTGTGACATCAGTGTAAGCTGTGCTGTACGGCAGCAGGGGGCGCTGTGGTAACAGCCAGGAAATAAAACACATAGAGGGGGAAAATTGAGAGCAGAAGGAAATTGTTGCATGAAATGTGAACTTTTCCTGTAGGTCTCTGCTCAATATTATCACCCAACATGTGCTCATATAATCGATACAAACAGCAGAACATAAATTAGCAGTTAAACATATTCTCCCTATTTTTGTTTGGTTTGTAAAGTTCAAATTTGGGTGAAGCTCGAGCACAGGAGGGAAAAAAATCTGGAATACTCTCCTCCAAACATGACCGAAGCTGTTGTGAATAATTTATTTAGATCAGTGAGATTCATCTTAAAACATCAGTGATGCTTCTCCTCTTCATCACATCTGAGTGTGAAACACTCGTATCACTGCATTAAGAGCTGACGACACCTTTCACCGAATGAGAGCGAGGCTGATGGAAGTGGATCTCTGGAGCCTGAGTGTGAACTGAGCTTATCGTCTTAGTGCTTCTGGTTGCAGAGGAAAGGAATAAGAGAGAGAGGCAGGAAGAGGAAAGGTCACACTAAGTTCCTGACTTTGCGGCGATGCCAAATGTCACAGTCTCGTTTTCACCAACACTGGCCCGAACCCGCTGAGTCTGCAGCAATGTTCTCCTTAGCAGAGCTGTGACCGAAATATCAAAGATTCTCGCATCCAAAACCGACCGAACGCAGAATCCGAATGCTGAAACCGACTCGCCTCTCCGTCGGGCCGTGTGGTGGACTTTCTGTTTCAGGCCAGTTTGAGCGTGCTGACGGGGAAGGTCGGGACAGTAACCATGGTGACAGGGTTGAGGACAGCGGTCTGGCCAACCAGCTGGGGGTGCGGCGCGAGCACCGCTGTGGGTTTCCCCAGCGACGGGCTGCCCTGGCTCACCACGGCGGCGCTGCTGACCTGCGCTCCGTTAGTGTTAGCCTGAGCGCCGGCCTGGACGTGCGGCAGGGCGTGGTGGGCGAAGGTGTGGGTGATGTGGCCCACCACGGTGGGCTGGCTGACCGGCACACCCTGGGGGTACAGTGTCGGGAGGTGGGACGCGAGAGGCGCCCCCAGGTGTGCCACCGGGTGGACGGTGATGTGTCCGATGGGCTGGGCTATGTGCTGGTGGGTCGCCGTAACGGGTGCCGCCGCCATTGGCTGCGGGGTGGAGGAAGTGGGACCCGGAGAGGGGGCTATGTGTGCTAAGTGTTTGTGGTTGGCTGGGAGGGTGTGACTGACCGAGTGGATCACCGACGGGTGCGAGACGGCGGCGTGAGCGATGACGGTCGGCTGGACCTGCACAGCTGGAGTATGAAGAGGAAGAGGAGGAGGAGGAGGAGGGCCGGGAGGCGGAGCAGGGGCGATGGCCTGAGGAGGAGGAGGACCTGCAGGAGGAGGAGCGGCGAGGACTCCGGAAAGAGGAAGAGTGGCGTGCTGGATGGACAGATGTGGAGCCAGGAGCGGCTGGGCCTGGAGGATGGACAGAACCGGTTTCTGGAGGGACGCGGGAACGGGACGAGCGGCAGCGTTTTCCTCCACATCCTGGTCGAAGTTGTCCTCTCCCTCTGAGGATCAGACAGAAAACTGTGACATCATGACAGGAAACTGCATTTACAGAAATATTCACACCTCCTCAAACCTTCAGTGCATTTTAAAGCGATTTCATAAAGCAGAGGCAGCGTGTTTCTGGACTCCACGTCACATTTTGTTTTCACAGTTTAGCTTCTCCTGCAACATAAGCTGTTTTTTTTACTCTACAACATAAAATCTAGAAAACATTTTAAATGTATTCATGGTTTTTACAACTGTATAAACACAGAACCGCTTAGCAAAAACGCTCTGGGCCTGTAACGATAACAAATGAAACTGGATGATGAATTGTCCCAGAAGTTATTGCGATAAACAATAACGTTGTTTTGAGACCAAATTCAAGTAATGAACAGATGTGGAGCCAGGACATCTGGCTCCACATCTGTATAATAATATACAGATGTGATAACTGCATAATAATAAAAAACTACGTCTGCCAGCCATTTGGCACCTGAGGCAGTAGACGTGGAGGCC